GCGGAATCTGTAAAAGCAGTTACAATACCAATCAAACATAGTGTAAAAAATTCAAAAGAAATTTTGAAAAGGTTGTAGTCGAATTTAAAAGAAATTCGACTACAGCCTATTGATATTAATCACTTTCATATCAGTTTGCCAGCACTGCATAATTTACTGAATGAAAAAAAAATTCAAATGTGTTTGTATTGCGCAAAAAATTCTGTTTCACGTTTCCCCTACCCTCCGACTTTATTGTTTGATTAAGGTGAATCACATTAGAATTAATCCCGCGTTAAGCTTCTTGTGGGCCCTGACAAAATTTAAATTTGCACCCCATTTACATAAGTTGCTCATAATGAAATCTTAAATAATGTCACTTAAATTTTTATTAACACTAGAACGTAAACACACTAATACAACAATAATTGCATAATGAAAGAGTTTCTGGTGTGACAGAAAATATAAAAATACCGTTATTTACTCGCGTATTCCCCCCCGGTCCCCCCTCTTTTTTTGTGCTAATTTTAGCATCCAAAAATCAAAAGGGGAAAATTAAGCTAATAATATAATTTTCTAAGGGCGCGTTTACAGTAAGAATATAGTAAATGACAAATTTTCAAGGATGAACTACTGAAACTATCACAGTATTATTTATTTAAAGGAAACCTGCATTCCACTAAGAATGCGTAGTAATATTCACATTAGAGTATCTAATAAGATACTTTCGTTCCTACTCCCTGTATCCTTGCTCACTCTTATTGCTGTCCATTGCCCCTCCCTAGTTTTCAAATCATTTGATAATGCTGGAACCACTATCTGTATTATCTTCCACCAGCTTGCAAATCGTCGTTATAGTCACCGTTGTCATCGTATTCATCCCCGTTCAATCTGTCCTTCTCTGCGCAAAGATTTTCAGAACTATTAAGAGCATTAAATATCCCCATTTTCTTGCAACTCTCCACGAGCAATCAGAGCCCTTGGATCCCAAATCTACAATCAGAGCCCAGGATAGAACCTCCATCAATTAGAGCCCATGGATTCAAAATCCACAATTAACAAGACGAAAACAACCATTAAGATTTTAACAACCATTTTAACATTTAGAGAACTTAGTTCGGAATCTTGAACAATGAAAGTGAAATGCATCGAAAAGATAGCTGTATCAAAATTTTGGAAAATTTTCAAACATTGTTATTATCTTATCTTTTGTTTTCTTCTTTCTTCCTAGTATATCTTGATCTGGACTTTATTCAACTTCATTTTCTTCATTGGTAGATGTTAATGTTCCTGGCATTTTTCCTCACGTTTAATGGAACTGAGTTTTGTTGTTCGTCTTTATTTTTGTTTTCTTCATTTTCTACTTTCTCTTCTATTATACATCAGTCCAGATCTTCAGCACTTTTCGTTTCGTTTATTGATATTAATACCTTTTTTTTTTGTCTTTTTGTGTAGAATATTCAGATAATGCGTATTTTTGTTTTAACTTTTCTTTCTCTTTTTTCTTCTTTTTCGAAATCCTAATTAATGTTTATAGTTTATATTTGTAATCATGTGGATTTCTGATAAAATACTTCCGTTAATTGCTAATTATGCCTGCAAATGGACGAAAAGTGAACGTACATGTACAGTACACACTGTACATTGTAAAAGTATGTCGCATCGAATCCGATTCCTTTTCTTTATCAGTTATTATGATTGCGTGAATTTTTATTAGTTAAAAATAATATTATTAAAATTTATCAAAAATATTTTTATATTCTAAATTCATTATTATAACTTTTTTATTCCTTTCTTTTTTTCTGTACTGAAACGGGATCCCTGTGAATTAGGAAACCTAGGCATGTCTTATTTATTTTATTACTTTTTTTGTTAATCAGCTCTAAACCAGAACTATATGCCTATGGAAAGGATGCCTTCGTCGGAAGCTTTTAAGGAAAGCAGTAATGAATTTATATTTCCAACATAAGAAACATTATGAAGCCATCCTGGTCGACTTCAAGGATGGGATCCAGAGTTTACTTACGTTTCGAGTCTTTAGCTACTTACTGCAACACTAATTAAGGATAGAAATAAGTAAACAATTTATAATTGCTCTCTTTCTTTAAAATAGTAAATACATTGTTTCTGAAATGTTCATTTTTCTACCATTAGGAAGAAAAAATTTTGTTTAAATAAAATGGTAATCACCTTAATGCAATTCGTAAGTGCTATTAATTTTCATAAGTCCAATCCTAAGCCCAAAATTTCAAAATGAATTCAATTAGATATTCGTCATAATAACTAAGCAGCTTGACCCACATAATATAGATGAAGCAAAAGACAAGAAAAGTAGTGAAATAACACCTGATGTTACTTTTTTTTTTCTTTATCCTTTTTTTACATAGCATTCTAAGATCCGTTTTACTTTAATTATTTTCTTTACATCCCCACCCGCCTTAAAAACTGCTGTAGGTGCCAAAATCCACCTTTTATATAGGAAAAAAATAAAAAACAGAAATCACCGTCTGCAATTAGCAGGTGCTACCGTTACTGCGTGCATTGACTCCGAAGCTCTAAGCAGGTGTGTCATCTTAACCCTTAATCCACCTCATCAGTTATTTTTGCCTTTTCTTTCTTTTTTATCTCTTTTTTTTTAGTATGCGGGATATTGTTGGGAGGTTTGCCGTTATGCAGACCGACTTTGACGTGCGGCTTGTGTAATTGATGCTGGTACTGCAAGTAGAAATCAGTTGTGTTTACCAAAATTATCTGGATACTTGTATAGCGATGAAAAAATGTAAGAACTGGAGAGTAGTTAAGGCCGAATTGGGACTACAGTATTCAAATTATCTTATTTCAGTATATACGTTTTACAATAAATGCGAAAACGTATTTTTGTGACGAAAATGAGAAACTAATCTTCAGATAACATAAAAATCAGTTGTTGAGAGTATGATACATTATATATTCTGAAGAACCTTTAACGAAGAAGCATATTCAAACAGCAATAAAGTATGCTTATACGCAATACAGAAAACATTATGCTGATGTAATAGATGTTTAAAGGAAGGGATTAATTAATTATTAATAAAGATAAAAATAATTTATAAGATAAAAATATTCTATCCCAACATTTGTAAAAGAAGCATGTGTTATGGTTTTCTGCAATGTTAAACCACTAATCACTTGCGTTGGCGAAATTTCGAGAAAAAGAATTTATCTCAGTTACTAAACTTTCTTCAAATATGATGCACTTTCTTTTCTAAAGAAATCTTCCGACTTCCAATATAGAAGGATCAATCCGAAACACTTTCACTGCAGTTTTTCCGGACAGTTGCGTGCTCAAAGATTAAATCACTCAAAATGATTTTTCTTTTCATTTATATGTTTGTTATTACCTAATGATATTAAACCTTTTGATGTTAATGAAGGCTATATTATATATCTCATTATTACATATCGTGTGATATAAAATACAATGTATAGACTATATTATATATGATATCATACTCTATTATATATTATATATTAGAGCATATATCTTACCAATTACCAATTTATTGGAAATGCCGTGTGTATCGTTCAATAAATTAAATCTATCAATTTTATTTCTTTTCTTGTCATTCTAATAATATGCAAAAGAAAAAAATCATTTCTGCTCTACAATTTATGTAAAAGATATTTTTCTGTTTGCCTTTCTTCCTGCATTAGATTTTGGCAGCCTTGTTAAATAAAATATGTTTTATTTTAACTATTACTTTTAATATGCTTTTAATATTTATTCTTCACAATCTGTTCTTACTCCTTAACTTTAGTAACTTTTAGAATTCCTAAAATTTTTTTATCTTTTTACTCTTTAAGGGAGCTTTTTTAAAAAAGCCCTCTCACCATTTATAAGCAACATTCTTTTACTGGGAGGATATAACTGGCAATATATATTTAAATGAATGTCAAAACATTAAGTTCTGTGGAAAGCCAATATTTCTGTAACCGTTTCGAGAGCATCTTACCCATCTTGAGGAGAGTTTAAAGCGTGGTTCTGAATCAAATCACACAGTTTAATTATTTGCTCCATTACTGAATTGAATCATGAGTTTTACTGCTTTTGTAAATTTAAACTAAAGAGAAAGATTTATTTTATTAGAAACTTTAGGATTTATCTCATTTGGCTATAGCTTCAGAAAAAAATAAAAGCTATTCTGCCAAGAAAATTATTAGCGGAAAATGCGATATATAATTTGATCACTTTGGATTTATGCAAAATATTTTGAATAAACACTTTTTTCCCTACCTAGGTAATGATTAATAGGAGCCAGGGCACTTAATAGTTTAGTGCATTAGTCTTTAGAGGATTTATATACATAATTCCTGTTGTAATTATCATAAGGTCACTGTTAATGGACTCTGAAACCGAAGGCTTTGTTTACATACTATCTTAGGTTAGCATCTTACTTCTTGTTAAATTTAAAAGTGTTCATCACAGTTTTAAAAACAGTCTTTATAAGAAGTTTCCACCAAAGAAATTACTATGTTTTCTTACTAATTTGCAGCGGGATTATACAGCTAGCTGAATTTAACCAGGAAAGCATGATTTAGAATTTCATTGTAGGGAGAGTTGCTTTCGTAAATTATTAGTATAATTCCGAACTAAGCATCAAATGGGTCATTGTAAAAAATATGTAAAGCCATAGAAAGTTTTTAGAAATCGGTCTTACTTTAAAAGTGCATTTTTTGCTTTTGTGTTTTTCGTGAATGATATAAATAATTTTTTAAAATTTATTAATGTCATCTAATTACATATTTGAGTTAAAACTTTCGTTAATGTAAAAATTAAGGTTTGAAAAATGTAATCCATATGAAGATATTTATTCTTGAATATTAACTGAAAGTTTAAGCATGTATCTTATTTTTTATGTGCAGCTGGAGGTACTGCCTGACTTTGTACATATTGAAATTATATGCTTCATTTTAATGTCCACTTAAAATTGATATTTAATACTGATGTGTATTCAATTACTTATTATTATCATTTATTACAGATGAACTGTTTAACTTGATCAAAGGAATTCTCCACAAAACGCTCCAGTTTATGTTCTCAACACGTAAAAGAAAATCAAAATATCTCAAGTAAAGAATGGAAACCTAATAGATCGGGATCAAGTATAATTAACCGAGCGTTCGAGGTTATCGCAATTATCTTCGATAGGCCGGGAATGAGCCAACACTGTCGGTTTGGTGGAAGGCTGTTGAAATGCAGAGGGTTCCACCTTAGATAATGACATGATGAGCCTATTACAGCATTTAATGCCGTCAGATTTCTTACCTTCACATCCTAAAATGTCACCGACTCAGCATGCTACAAGTGTTGATGAAAGGATATCTTTGAGAGTGTCGAAATGCCTTCAGGTGGCGTGGCTTGACGATTAAATTTAAAACCAAGATAGGAACAGGAAGGATTATCTTTCACTTACTTGACAGGTTTTAATCTGCTGGAGTAATTACGAATTTCTCGCGTTTGACTTCAGAGTTTTGTTTCTGAGGAGGGCAGGAAAACTAATTGATTGAAAAAGAACCTAATTATTAGAACATTATGCAGTGTAAAGTAAGAGTAATAAATCGCTGTCTTAAAAACCGTAGCTTTTCCTACAGATTTCAAGTTTATCTCTGATGCTTATCATATTCGATACCCATTAGTTGCACAAAGCTATACGTAAGAAATTTTCTTATTAAGTTTAAGAAGTTTGTGAATTCAGCTGCAAATAACTGGATGGTGAAAGTGCCACTAAACGTTTAAAATACAAATGTCCAGTCAAAAGAAATTTGTTCTTTTAAAAATTATGCTCCCTTGAACTGAAAAATTTGCGAAATAAAATAGTAAATCGAACAGTGTCCAAAGATCTCTATTTATGTGCAGGCTAAAAATACGTATCATATTTATGTACTGCAAATAAGTATTCTAGAAACTTGTAAAAATCTTTAATTAAGTGAAAATAAACAAACATTGCTGGAAATCTTAAAATGTTGTGCTTGTTTAATATTATCATCAAATTCTCATAAAAAATTGATGTTTTTTCATGCTGATTCACGTACAGATAATCTATGAAGTTTCCTGTATTCAAATAAACTGTACTTAGAAATTTGAACTATTATCTTTCCTGAGTTTGTAGTATGTTTTATGTTACCATACTTGCAACACATACGGATAAGTTGCTGACACATGGAACTATATGACAGTCAACGATACTTGCACAAGGACAAAAAAACTTGCAGTCAAATATAAGATGATTTTGCTTGAGGACTGCTGTGTTGAAACTAATATATTCCAGAAAAATAAGGAACAGCACAGAAAATCAAACGGCCTTAGTGCTTACCTCCTAAATCATTAAACAAGAATGTATATTCTATAAGCTACTAGAACAAGAAAAGAAAAGAAAAATTGTAGACGCTAGTTGTAAGTACCATATTCTTTTTCTTTCGCCTCAAGTATAATGCTTAAAATATTTAAATATGTTCATTATTTTACTATAAAATTGACTTTTTATTTAATGACGTTATCCATTTGTAGACTAATGTAATTTTGTGAAATGCGCTGTGGCTCCTCGGTGAGATATGTTCCTCGCAAACGAAGCTCCTCCAGCGGAGCGCAGCGTGACTCACGCTGCTCAACTGCACATGCAGTCAATGGCGGGCTTAGGGTTGCCAGAAACTGTCAGAGAAAGGGCAGGATTGCCAGATTTGGGACGAAATCGCCCATTTGTCGGTAAAATTGGAGATATGTTATAGACAACGCGAGAACATTCTAGAACGCATTTTTAGCAGTTTTCTAAGGAATATTCTCGAAGGTAGGTTTAAGCTATATATACCTTGCCTGTACCGGGAGAGAGTAGTGTCTTATAGCCTGAAGCTTGTGTTGCTGATTGTTTCGACGTGTTTGTCGTAGTTTTTCGACGAGTGTAAACTTGCCTTTGGAACTGCCCTGTGTAATAGTGCTTACTGGCGAATAAATTGTGCTTTGATTCTTCATCAAGTTTGATCATCAATTACTACAAATCCATGAACCCATAGAACGTAACAGTAAGTCTTTTGTCCACTTTGAGTACGTGTAAGAGTCTAGACTCTAGACTACGTTTCGAAGACTTAATACACAGGAAGGATTTCGTCTTAAAAATATTTTCAGCTATGGATATTAAAATACTAAGAAAGCCGAGGGAATTTTTCAAAGAATAATGTGTAAGCATGATGAGCAAAATAACTAATAACAAATGTAATCATAAACTAAAAATTGATTCAGTAGATTAATTTTGTTTGGGTAATATACTGTACTAGTATGGAGGGAATGATATGCAGAAAAAGTTGCCTGTTTATCAAAATTTTCTGACTTCGTAGCAGGTTTCTTACGTAGGTTAGAGCAGGTTCGTAGCAGGTTTTTTACGTAGGTTTTGCGTGCAAAATATTTTAATGATGTTTACATAAAACTTTTAATACTGATTTTAGACTGTTATTTTTCGCTCAGACGTTCATATAGCAAAGAGACTTCCGATACTTGTTGAAAAATTTTTAATTCACTAGCGATACTGAAAAATTTCATTGATTCCTTTTAATAAATATTTAATTTTTGAAATTAAATGTTTAATAGGACTAACTAAAATGAAAGTAATATATTTTCAATAAGATCAAGAAGCCTTTAAGACCCTTTTTGCTACTGTATTATTTAAAATTTTTTTTTTGAATTTTTTTTATAATCCGACCCCCAAACTTCAGTAACAAAAGAATGTTATAAAATGTCTCCGACACTGAAATATACAGTAACATCATTAGATCTATTACATTTCTAACTTTTAAGATGAAGTGAGAGTTTCAACACACGCCCCATCGTAACAATTCTTAATAATCTTTTTGAAATATAGAGTCAACTTGCACACCAGAACGGTAGCTTCAAAATCAAAGATAGTTATCAGCAAATGTTGCGAAAGTATTATCTTTCTTTCAGCAAGTACGGAATTTAAAAGGTGTCAGAAACCAGATAAAAGCAAAATATTTTGAAAACATTTCTTCTTACTCATTCGCTTTTCATTTAATAACAGGTACTACCTATGTTTAAACTCTTAATTAGTTTTGTTACTCTTAAAAAATCTAGACATTTATTTACATCAACTATTACTTTTTAATGTATTAAGAGCACTGATGATTGCAACCTTCATCTTACTTTTAGAAATCTGACCCTGAGGGGGAAAATTCGTAAGATCAAAATAACTCAATTTTCCTCGGACATTAATTTTGTATTTTAAATACACAAATGAAAGAGTAACATGCACAACGGCAATTAGCGTAAGAGAAAAAGTATACGGTTCAAAGTAATCACTGGCATATGAAATATATTTAGAGATATTCTGTATTGCGTAACATGTAGCAGTTAAACATCGAGTATTTCTTTCTTAAATAACATCTGCTTTGCCTACTTTAATTATTGATAATTTTCTTGTGGGGGGAGAGAATAGGGAGACTCAAAGAAAACGGAGATTGTTTCTGAATATTTTATGCCTATTGATTCCATACTATGATGTCTGTCACTCAGCTTCCTTAAATAGTAAATTCTTGCATGAAATCAATAATTGCACTAATGTAATGAAATTTCAAACACGAACTCTAGTTTCTGTGTAGAATTATAACCAAGGAAAAGAAACGTTCCCAACAGAAATGGGGGAAAATCATTTTGCAAGCACCCTTAGGAAAAGTACAAAATTTGAATTAGCCTAACTATGCAGATAATTATAAGAAACACACATATATATAGCATTAGAAAAATACATATTTAATTTTTTATAACCAAAATAAAACAAGCTACAACTTCATTTAAATAATTTTAGTAAAGATGAATGACTCTTTCTAATATGGACTCTCCAAAACAAAAAATATTGAAGTTAAGGGCTTAATATAGTATTAAGTAATTTTCCAAAGAGAGAATATAATTATTGGATTATAATAATCATGGAAGTTATAATTACTGAAATTACTTTGAATGAATGTGTGCGAGTTGTTATTTTTTGCTCAGAGCACGTAAGTCCACCTGGGCTGAAAATTAAAATGAACTATTTATTAAGAAATTTAATGAATTATTTTTAATAACTGCATTAGAGATGATATTACATGCTAACAGTTCTGGATCTTTATATATTCTGTTTCAAGAATTCAAGTGAAAGTTACAGAAATCCTGAATTATTTCGTAACCAAATATTATTTACAGTTATAAATTTGTTTATCGGTTAGCAACGTAAAGCAATAATTCAATATAAAGAAACATTTGCTTAACGAATTGGCCTGGATGTCATTTAATTTCTGAAGAAATAAATTCTGCTGAAATTTCAATTATTAAAAATGAAAATTTGAATTTCGACACATTAATCAGGTTATTATCATGCTTTGATTGTCATTTGAATAACTAGATATGGTGACAGATGTACAATATTTATACCTTTCAAAGAAAAAGAAACAAGAAGCTAACAAATGTACTTCGAAATTACTGCATTTAATTCTTTACGTTAAAGCTATTTAGAAAGCTTAATCAAGTATTTGAAAAACGAAAGAAAAGAAGTGTTAAATTGTATAATAATAATGATTATTATATTGATTATTATTAACACTTCAACAACAAACAAACAAACAAACAAAACATAACAAACATAACAAAAAGACATAAATTTTACTGATATCAACATTTAGTTGAATCTCCTCAAATTCTTCAGGAACTGCTTAGTTAGCATATGTTTGGATAGTCAGTCGTGATTGGCTAACGTATGATTTTTGCATACTATCATCTGAACCTGCAGCCATTAAAATTCAGCTATATTTTCGAGAACTAGTAATTTGCGTTACGTGTTTAACTTCTTGAAGCCAGTATATTTCTGTCAGCCACTTAAAAAATAAATTGGAAGTGAAAAAAGAAACGCTAAGGCTGTAGAGTCATTAGGCTAATTGGAAGCAGAAAAGATGAAAAATATGCAACCGCCTTCGCCGGGAATCGAACCACAGACCTCTGGAATACCGGCCTAGGTGTACGTTAACACGAAGGCACGTAGAGAAGTGGGACAAATTATAAGGCAGGGGTTTCCAACCCTATGCCCGTTGGCACCTTAGCGCCTGCCCGTTTAACCAAGGACCAAGGAAGGGTTCTATTACGAAGCACTTAGGCTTACTGCCTTTATCCCCACATCATCAAAGAATTATTTTTATCGCCAAAAAGAGGGTTCCGCAAAGAGGTAACAATTAGCGCCAAATGTTAAATTTAACAAAACCACCACTGTGCGATCACAATAAAAATGTTTTAGTTTTCAGCAAAATTCTATGTGAAAGTTTTCTCATTTTTAACGAAATAGAAATTGCGTCCAACACAGATACTAGCACAAAACGAAATGCGACCGATCTCTTTTCATGTTGATGCATTATTAACTCTATACAGTTATAAATTCACTTTGAAAAGCCCGCCGTCCAAAAGATATTCTAGAATGTCATCTCAGGGACAAAAAGGTTGCTAACCCCTGCTCTAAGGCAGATTTTTTTCTGAAGAAGACTAATACTGAAGAAAATTGGGGAAGGCCAAAACTCTTAAGAAATTAGATCTTTTCTGGAGAAGGCTTACGATTTGGATTTTTTGTTCTTTCGTATGAAGTGAAAAGACGGAATAGTGCTTTGATCCGAGTTGTTCTTATGCAGATTTTTCTCTTTCATGAACTTGCCATTTTGTATGCAAAATGCATGTTTTTTTAATATTTCTGTGGAGAAGCTGAAAAATAATCACGGTAAAATATAGCGATGGTACTAAAAACAGTTTTTCAGTTTTTGTTTAAATGGTACGCTTTAGTAGAAAGGTTGAGAACCTCTGATTTAGAGATTTTACCCTAGCAAAACCACATAGTATAAACTGCCGGAGTATGTATTCTTTGATGAATATACCGGGTCCACTCACTGTCTCTAGACTGGAGACAAATATTTACCTTTTTTTTTGTGTTCCTGAATTATTTTTCTGATTGCTTTATTCCGTGCTAGCTGAAAATAATATCATGCAAAAAACAACTCATAAATATAACACATTTTTGCATTAAAAGCATAACTGAACTAACTGGTTGCATAAAGTTCGCATTGTATACTTTATTGCCAGCAGCTCATCTGGCAATTCCCACTGTGTATGTTCAAGAATTAATAATTTAAAATTTATTTCCCCAATTTCATCTAAGGTAAAGGTAAAGGTAAAAGTATGGGGGACACCAGCGATGTACCATAGGTCAACTGGTAATGCCTTCCCATACTAACTCTTTGAGAGAGAAAAAAAAAAAAAAAAAAAAGGAGGGGGGTAATTGCAAGTTTTATAAGAATTTGCATAAACTGAAGCTTTTCAAAACAATTTCATCTAAACAGAAGATTTCAGTGTCTGCGTAACACGCGTTTGTTAACTTT